AAATCAGCTGTGTTGGTTCAAGGACACATCTAAAACCTGCAGGGACACCGGCCCTCGAGGCCTGGAGTTGCCCACCCCTGTATTAGTACATATCGATTGAGTACTCACATGTGCTATATTCATGACTGGGTCACAAATAATTCACACTCTATCTGGTTGGGGATTGAAACCTCTCTTTCAAAGTATCCATTAAGGGACTAACTGTCCCTTAATAACTGTTCTTTAAGAACTTTAAAGATATTAGATCGGGCTGTGATAATCCAATCACACTTAATACACTTAAGGCCTGACGGTCAGTATGTCGAATTGAGGGAAGGTTGAAGTTAACATCTATGTTCATCCCTATTGTGAATAATCTTCACTTTCAACCGGGGATGTTTGATATAGGTTTTAAGGAATGGAAGAACAAAGGAGTTCACAGACTGAGGGACTTATTCTCCGACAATGTGGTTATGCCATTTGACCAAATGGTTGAGAAATATTCTCTCCCCAAACATGACTTTTTCCGTTATTTACAGATAAGGCATTATATCTTGCACAGTACTAACTTCAGTGAGAGTCATGAAGTCTCTCATGTTAAGAAATTATTATTTTTAACAGATAAAGAGGTACCTGTGAAGATATTTTCTACGGCTTTATATTCTGTACCTTCAGTGATGTCACAGAGGCTTAAAGGCACACGGGAAAAGGAGTTAGGTATAATAATTGATAATGAATAGTGGAAACATGTCTGGAGTTATGCCAAATCAATCTCAGTTTGTAATCGTACCAAAGCAATACAGTTAAAAATCATACACAGAATGCATATATCCATATTTCGCAGACATCAATATAATCCTACCCTTTCACCCATGTGCATCAAATGCAAGACAGAAATTGGTACCCTAACTCACAGCTTCTGTTCATGTTTGAAATTGCAAGAATATTGGTCTAATGTGTTATCTGAAATGGAGAAGATTTTGGGTTGTAAATTGGAGATGGACCCTTTGTCTCTCATACTGAGTCTCCCCAGCCGGCGGTTAATATCCAAGAATAATAGGAGGTTGTATTGTATTCTCACCTATGCGGTGAGGAAGAATATACTACTCCAATGGATTAATGAAAAAGCACCAACTATTAAAGGTTGAAAAAGAGTAGTGTTGGATCTAGTGCCATTGGAATATCTTACATGTGTACTGCACTCAAAAACAGACCAATTCTTCAAGGTGTAGGAACCATACTTGAATTATAATGATAAT